TGTAAACACAGAAACTACCTATTGAAAGATTACTTTCAACATTTCACCCACATCGCCTATTTTGGACCAAAAATATGCAAAATATGAGGCGTTTCAGTAGTAATAGTAGTAGTAGTAGTAGTATTTAGTCGTGTGTGTGCATCTCACCCTGCATGTGTTTGTGTACATTATGTAATCGCTTCTACTTCTAAATTTAAATAACTTCAGTCATCTCTCCTCTCTTTTGTGACACGCTTTTTAGTCGATTTAACGTGACAAACACTTTGATCAATCCCATGCTGCTTGAAATGGTCGAATTTCCAGAGGGCCGCCATGTTTAAAACAAAAAAAAGGCCAAGACTTTTCTCCGCCCATTCCCCTGAAAAATAAAGAAATAAATAGCATTTGATTGGTGCAGGTATACTTAATTCTCCGATTCACAATGCGGCGTTTCCAGCGTCATTTGTCGCAAGTCATGGCTGTAAAGTGGGATGTTCGTATCACGCGGCATATATTCACTTTGGCCGCTTCCTTCCTCGTTCGCACCCCTCGCATTCATTGTGCTCTAATGAGCATGAGAATCATTTGGCACACCCGGCGAAGGTAAAGAAGCTGCAGCTTGTTTGTTTTGTCTCCCGTCGGACGAGTTGGTCGGAGAACGCGTGTCGCCGCAGCCGGCGCGACCTTGAGTGGTTCGTTACCGGCTGGCAGCTCCAAGGCGAGCGCTATTAAAGCGCCGCCGTAACACGCGACCTTCCCGGAACGAGCGGCGTGAAAATCTTTAAAGGGCTGGAGTCATGGCGCGCCGCCTTCAAGCGGGGAAAAGTCAATCATTTCATATCGCTTGACTCTCTGTGTGACGGCACACTTGTAATGCCCATTAAGCCTGTGGAGCTCGGGTATAGTTCCAGCGCCATATTTTTATACATTTTTGTGGAGGAGGCGTGGGGGGATTTTTATTTTTATTTTTGTAACATTTTGCAATCCAAGGAAACAATCTGGAAGCCACCGTATTTTAGCAGGGGTCATATAAGGAGGCGATTTCGCACTCATACATTAAATTATGCAATTTTAGCCTGGTTTCTATTTCCGAACCATCCGCCCCTGCGGCTTCCAACGCCTCGTGAAAAACACCACATTGGTCAGCGCGGCCAGCGTGCGCATAAACAAACGGAACATGCCGTGTGGGTGTTGGCACGGTGTCACCGGTCATGCGCGTATTCCCGGAAAACCTCCGTCTATTTTCGCCGCTCGCTAAATAGGACGCCGTCTTCCAAAGGTGCTTGCGAGCGATTGGCTGGCTTGAAGGATGAAGATGTGTTGTGTTTGCATTGTGTGGCCTCAGCTTGGCTACTTTGCAGGCGCGCCGACCCCCCCCCCCCCCCCCCCCCCCCCCCACCGCCTCACCTCCGCCTAGCATCCATCCTTTCAAAATTGGATTCGATTTTTTTTCCACCTTCCTATTATCCACTCGGCATCTGGGCCAAGGTCTATTGAGAGCGCTTTACTTTGTCACGCCGCTGTGACTGCAGCAACCAATCACCACAGGTGTCACGGGCGCCGACCGCGCTTCGAGCACGCCCGCTATTTATAAACCGCTGTCTTATTGACCTCTTGTAATCGAAGCGGTCAATGCCAAAGTCTTTATTCCGTAAAGCATGTCCATTGCAGTTTGCCTGAGTGCTCCGATTGGGAAAATGCAGACAAGCTAGCAGCTAGTTGCTATGTGCTAGCTTGTCTGCATTTGCTGCTAGCTTGTCTGCATTTTCTCTTCCGTTCAAACGATTAGCGATGCCAATATCGTCCTTACTGTCATGTTCCGATACTCGGACACCGATACCACTTATATCGTATACCTTTCCGGGCAGCGCAGTAGTGATACTTTAAGACAAACACGGGTGACACTTTGCCCGCGTCCTTGGACTTTTGCTCGTATAGCGCACCATTATTTACACATTTCCTGAGGGACCAAGCTCAGAACACAAGGTGGAAAAAAAAGCTAAAGATAAATTCCATAAATATCGACATCCGGCGAGCTTGCCTAGCCGCCTCCGGGCGTCTCGACCGCGACTCCGTTGGGAAAGGTTTTTAACGCCGGATGATAACACGAGGTGAGCTTGATTAATTTGGCCTTCTGGGGTGTGGGGGGGAGTGGTCCACATTTCTTGGCTGCCTTTATTTGCCTGGCGACGACGAGGCACACGAAGCGGTTGCCGGGGAAGATTTGCAAAATGGAAGTTGTTTTGGAAAGACTTTGAAATTGTGTCTCAAGTTCTCCCCCGCAGTCACCCGAATGCACAGAGCTATCGGACCGGCCAAGATGAATGGTCGCAGCGCTTGATATTAACAGCAGGTTTGGCTGCGGCGCAGCCTTCGGTTTCCGCCACCATCCATCTTGACACACACATAGATTGGATCTGCTCTTCACAGGTGTTTTTCAATCTGTGATTTGGCCTCACACCGATGAGACACTTTTACGGGCCTCGGGTCAATACGGATGTCTCGGGTTTGAAATCAATAGATTCTTAATTCACGGCTTGGAACGTTTTTTTTTTTCCCCTCAGTCCCTGTTTCAATTGCGCCTGACTTTTCGGCATTTTTCATCGCTTGGCGTAGCGTGTCGGACTTTACTCAATACGTGTGTGTGTGTGTGATGATCATTAGACGATGACCACACTTTTTTTTTGGGCGGGGGGGACATATTGTGACCCTGATGATGGATTAAAAAGAATGCTGGTTTAAGATTCTCCCTCAGCCACGCGAGCTGTCACTGCCGGATAAATTAAGCGGCGGAGTTCATGGGATTATGAAGTCTTTCAAAAGCACAAAATCCCCTCTTTTCCCTCCGCCGCCGCCGCTCGGAGACTTTCATTAATTCGGGCCGCAGTCGATTGGCAAAAGCTGCGTGTTCATCGCGCGGGCAGATTTTGCTTGATGAGGAATCCCTTCTGCGTGTGGTGGTGATCATGCAACAGGAGAATTCAAGTGCCATCATTTGAAATTACCGTCAGCATTGCCGCAAAATATTCAGCATCGAAACGTCAGGGAAAGCCTACCAGAACACCTGAACCTCATTCAGGGTCAATTCAAGACACTTTAAATGTTGCCAGGTGTGCCCTCCACTCATTTACTATCCAACAAGTTTGAAATGTTGTTGATGAATTCTGAACATGGGCACATCGCCAGTTTAAGTGGGTGTGCACACTTATGCAACTCCATTCCTTCCGTCTTTTTTTTTTTTTTTTTTTTTGGGGGCTTTCTCACACCAAAGTGTGTCCTCGGGAACATTAAGAAGCGAGATTATCCGATCGCTCTTCGTGGCTATGAAATATAAATGAAGCGCAAGCGTGTTCGCGCGCCGTCCCCACCTTCCACTCGCTTCCCTTTGACGCGCGCGCGGGCAAACGCCGCCGGCTCCATTATGAAGCGCCACGCTCGGCTTGAAATGAAAAGGCCTTTCCAGCTCGTAACGTTATTAAAAATCCATTTATCCGCTTTCGTGCTTTGCTTGTTCTTCACTTCCTGTCCGCCGCCTCGTCCCCGCCCACCCGCCTCCGTTATATCAATTAATCTTCTCTTTTGATTACACTCTGCCGCAGACCTCTCTGTCTGTGCGTTTCATTTTAATTATTATTATTTTTTTTTTTGACCCGGCAATTTTGTGGGTGTCAGAATTTTCTTTTTTCATGTGTATGAAATAGAAATACAAACGTGTCTTTCCCGTTCACGTACTACAAAGCAGAATTGGGGACAGAGAAGAACTGTTCTTACTTTTCCCCTCCATCCTTCCATCTCCTTCACCTCGCATCTCGTCGCGGTAATGAGCAATTAACTCCATCATTCCTTATTTATTCCACACCCCCCCCCTTCGCTAGTTCATTTCCTGTTGAAAGCACGCCACCCCTTGATTGGCAAGCCTGCGCTGATTACAAATCACGCCGGGAGCGCGCCGCGCTGCCGCGCGTCCTTGACACGGCGCTCTCTTGAAAGGAATGCTTCTATGTATTGAGGCACGCGTGGAAGAAATTGGAAGCGTGGATCGGCTGAAATTGCTCAATTGATTGATGAAGTGTTTTTTGTTTGGGTTTTTTTTTACATTTGGTGGCATAAAATACTCTCTCACGGGTATCTGTGCTGCAACTGTGTTTCTGTAAAAATGCTCTGATACCACAACACCGATACAACATGACTTGAACACACATTTTGTGAAAGTGTGGCAAATTACGCTCTGCGAAATGTCGTACTCTTATCTGATCGGAAAGAAAAAGCGCCACTGGCGCAACCCTAATATATAAATATACATTGAATATACTGAATAATAATATATTTGTAATCATTTGTAAACTACTAGCAATACCCCGAATGGCTTCCATAGTGATGAGTAAAACACACTTGAACTGGTGAATTTTTTTTTGTTTTTTTTTTGGTCATCGTATGAGAATAGCCGAGGCTTCCCCCAGAGTACTTGCGCAAAGCATGCTGGGAGGAAGAGGGGGGGAGAAAAGTGCTGAGTCTTTGATGCTAATATGAAGTGTCATCCTCCCGCGCACTGCTCTGTGTGTGCGCGCGTGTGTGTGGGTGTATTCAGGATGTGTGCATGCGCTCCTCAGAGAACTTATGCAATTAGTTTTTTAATTTTTTTTTTTTTTTTATCCATCGGCATGCCGACTGAGATTATGACGGATCCAAAAAGCGCAACTAAAGCGGTGAAGCCGCCGCCTCTCATTCACGCGTGTACCAAAACAAAACAAAAAGACACACACACACACACCGGCATCTGAGAAAGCGTTGCGGGTCACAGCATCGAAGAATAGCGGCACGGCGATGCATCACAAAACATGCCGCTTGTTTGGTTCAGATCCTTTTTTGGACTTTTTGTTGTTCTTTTTATGCCTGCTATTCAACCCACGGCCACTAGAGGGCATGCATGCACGGTCACTCTGGATTGCGTGGATTTTAGCTGACACTAAATCGCATCAAGCGACACAGAAGAGTGACGATCTTCTCTATCTGTCTTGCAGCTATTGGTGTCCAGATGACTCTGGAGGTGATGGAATCCAGATTTTGGGCCATCGCATCACAGGTTCGTATTTAAGAAAAAAAAAAAAATCTCTCTCAACCTATCTCTCGAGGGGGAAATTAAATATATCTCCCAAGCACTAAATTAGAACTTGTTTCACCACCGGACCGACAATCAAAGAGTGTTTCGGCTAGCTGCGAAAGACTGATACAAGGTGTCCTTCCACACCTCCGAGGCAGCGTTTTTTTATTCGCGGCAGGTGTTGGAATGCTCGGCCACCTCCACTCCCCCGCGGCGGTAAAGATAGCGATGAAAAGAAGCATCGAGGCCTCCGATGATGGATCGCCAAAGCGCCAGCCAAGTGTGCGTGTGTGACACTCCCAGTTCCTTGTGGGTGGGGGGTGGGCTATTGTAAGGAGTGTCGAGTCCCGCGTGGACGGGCGACATATGCACGGCCATCTGTGCGAAAAAGTGTCCAGACTCATCAGCATGTGTGTGTTTCTCATATGCTTCCTGTCTGCAGTCAACTTTTAAGTTTTTCAGCACCCTCGGGGGGAGTTTGAAAGAATGAAAATGCAGCAGGAAGTACGAGGGAGGCGATAGCCCTCAAACGGACACTTCATTAGGTACACCGGAGAGATCCGGCGGCATCCGGTCCGCGGATTTATGTACCTTTAGCAATGTGTGAATGCAATCTTTTTCATTGAATCGTCCTGGTATTTGATTGGCGGCGGGTGTACCTAATGGTGTGGCCAGTTTTGGGGCAAAACGATGCTCATCATGACGAATCGAGTGATGTGAACTTCTCTTTTCTGTTTGTGTTCTTTGCAGCCAAACGACACCGATGTAAGTGAATCTATCGCTCCGCTCGTCCTCCTCACACGCTCCACTTCACCGGATTACGCGCACACGTCAGCTGTGGCAAATGAATTCAAATGACATCACAGGAGGCCCGGAGTGAAGCCGCGTGGCGCCCGAAATCAAACACCTCCGCTCGCCTGCCCTTTTGGCGCCTCACTTTGACTGCGAGGACGCATTTTCGTCACTTTCTCTGTTGTCCGTTTGCCCCGCAGTGCTCGGACGCCGAGGGAATTTGTCCTCTTCGCTGTGACAGCTTCGTGAGTGCGCCCCGCCGCCCGCCCACTTACCTTCCCGCCGCCCGTCTCGGAAAGCTCTCAAGCTCCCGCTCGGCACGTCACTTTCTCTGGTCTCTTGTCTCCCGTCGCAGGATATGGAGTGCTACGTGATGGACAATAACGGCTTCGTCCTCATTTCCAAACAGCGCGCTGACGTCAGTTCACGCACGGTCGAGCAATATCCCCGCTGACGTACGAGTGTTGTCAAACCGCAATCCCCCCCGGCCTTTTTGTGTCTCTGCCGACAGGCCGGGAGGTTCTTCGGCGAGGTCGACGGCTCCGTCATGGCGACGCTGATCCGAATGGGCATGTTCAAAAGGTAACTTCCCGCGCGTCGCAGGGAGATCGATTTTGGGGGATGATGCAAGCGAAATGTAAATAGTCAAAGCATACAAAATTCCAAGATGCTTCCAAATCGATTTCAATGGTCACTTTATCTTTTCTCAGGGTGTCTCTGTTTGACTACCAGGCGATGTGTAAGATGAACGCGCACTCCACCAGCAGCTCCCGGCCACTTCTCAGCGTATGTCAAAACGATTCGTCCATCCAGACGTGGATCCCAACGTTATCGACGAGATGAATTCCATTTGTCGTCTTTTTTTTTTTTGTTTTGTTTTGTTTTTCCTTCCAGTCATTCTACGCCTTGGCGTCCGCCCTCAAGTGGTTCCTTTCCAACTTCCTGGTGTAAGTGTTGCTAATAGCAACGAGCAATGCAGGGGCTTGAAGTTGAGTCCTTTCCACCACCTGACAGAACTTTTGGGCCAGGGCCCGGTTTTGGGGAAAACTGCCAGAGAGGCTATAATGATGGAGTGGCTCATTGACCCCCCCCACCCCCCTCCCTTCTGTCCACTCTCTTCTTTTCTCCACTTCACAAGGTTTCTCCTTGAGTTTAATGTTTGTGGATTCTGGCACACGGAGCACTTTGCAGATGGTGAGTTAACACAGGGGGGTTGGAAAAAAAAATCTGTTCTGTGAACTCTATCATTGCTTCCTATGGAGTACACAAAAAGCGCAAAGCTGTTTGGTTTTTGTTTTTTTTTACCATGTGAGCGATGACATTGTGACCGACCGAGGCTGTCAATCAAAACGCCGCTGACCTTTTTTTTACTCCCCCGCCCCTCAGCCTCCGTGCACAAGAAAAAAGGAGACATCCTGCAGCCGTGCGACACCGAGTACCCCAGCTTCGCCTACGAGCCGTCGGTCAAAGAGACCAACAGCATCATCAAGTGCGGACGCTGCCAGAAGTCAGTGCTCACTCTAATCCCGCACCGCAGCTCTCTCCGAACCCACGTCCAGGCATACTACCAACAACAAAAAATGTCCCTCTGAAATCCATTTTCTATGCTTCTGCCTGGATTTATATAACCGCATGGATGGAAATAAGTGGGCAGAAACAGGATTAGACGAGGGCGCGTGAGATTATACAAAGCACATGGTGAGTGGAAAGTATGGGGGGGAGAAAAAGGTAAATAGAGCAGGGGGGAGGAGTGCCAGAGTCCCAAACAAGTCAGTGAAGGGGAAGAGTTGAAGAGGGAAGCGTATGGAGCGTGCTGAGCGCCCTCTTGAGTACAGCTGTGGCATGACAATAACAGTCGTGTTCACATTTGATTGCTCTTGCGTGTGCCCCAGGATGTTTGTGGTGCAGCAGATCCCGCAGAGCAACCTGCTGATGTTGGTGGTCCAGGCCGACTGCGACTGCTCCAGACAATACTCGCCCATCACCATGGAGCCCAAAGAAGTCAAATATATCCTCTCGTGACTCATTTTCCAGTCAGCCGCAAAACTTTTACACCAAGCACTGTAATACCGTGCACTGTTTGAACACGAATGCTCTGCCGAAATCGAGCAAAATTGCGCGCAGTTGTGTTAAAATGCCAGTCATATATTCTTTATCCTCTGTATAAAAAAAAGTAATATTAATGCAGTCCACTGAGTCACTTTAGTTGTGAAACTCCTCTTTGTTTGTGTCTGCATGTTACTCCCCCTGGTGGCCAAATCGGACACAACAGGAGCACCAGTATTTTTTTTTCCAAACATTGAGTGCTACGTTCCTTATATATTTGAGAAAAAAAAAAGAAAACAAATTCAAAGATTTCGTTGTTTGTTATCCTTGACCCCTCACTAACATAACTCCTCAGTGAAGTGCGAGCGGATGCGTTCCCAGAAGATCCGCAGACGCCCCGAATCGTGCCACGCTTACCATCCCCAGGTAAAAAAAAAAAAAATTCAATAAAGACATTTTGTGTGTTTTTTTTAAGATCAGAATGAGACGCTTTGCCTTTCAGGAGAATGCAAACGACTGTGGCGGCGCATCCGCCGCATCTCTCTCTGCCTTCCTCTTCCTCGTTTGTCCTTCCATCGCCTCATTTCTCTCCTGATGGTGACCCCGATGGTGCCACAAGTGGATTTATTTTTATACAAAGCACAACTAAATCTTGTCTTTTTTTTTTTTTTTTTTTTGGTTCGCGAGAACCCGAAGAACTGTTCCCTCCCTCGGTCAACTGCTGCAAATTGGCAGGTGTTGCTATGGCTACCGCTCCATTACTTCTGTTCTCTACCTTGCTTCTACAAATGAAAGGGGGACTAAAGAGAAGCAGGTGGCTGCCATGAGTCACGCGGATGAATTATGAATCTCACCAGCGGATGTAATGGAGCCCGTAGGGCAGTAATGAGTTTCTGATTTACCTTTGTGCGCAAATGCATATGGTATCGCATCATATGGCATAGGAAGAGCTTGGATATATGAAATAAATGGAGAGACACTGATGTCTAACTTATTATTATATCAGCTTGACCTGGTTCATACTTTAAATTAATACCCTAAGAGGAGGCTGCACCCTCTGTAAATACAATGGGATTGATTTAAATCAGCATAATTATGGCCAATGTCATTTCATTTAAAATAATCCAAAACAACATAGTTTTATTTATTGTTGACTCTTGTACATGAGTAGTGTAAATCTAACATTTTAGGGTATTTTGCACACGGCTGGTGTTTACATACCTGTGAACCTCGGGTAATAGACCTGCTAGATTTGTTCATAATGTGTGTATTCGCACTTGTCAGACAGAAAACATAATTTTTTTTTGTTTGTTTACATTATTCCTGAGTGTGTCCACTCGAGTGAAGCTTTTCTCCAAACAACAGCTGTCCTGTCCACGTCTTTTTTCCTTCCAACGGGGTTTCGCCAGTGTGATAATAAAGAGACCAAGAATCTCTTTCTGCTCAGTGATAGTCGCTCGTGCTAACTCGCTTGTAGATGAGTAAAATGGCCAAAAACAAACAATAGCAGATAGCGCGTAGCGGAAAAAAAATGGAGCCTATAGTTCGAAATGAATGGAACCATTGTCTTTCGTGCGAAAAAAACGCTCTAAATCATATTTACATAATTCATGTTTGTTTTGTTGATGCTGACCAGTGTTAGCGATTGTGCGTTGCAATTCCTATACTGGCCAAAGGGGCGCTGTTTTTCCGCCCACATTGTTGGTGGCTGCTCTGTGGAGCGAGGCGCCAGAGGAAAATGGCGGACGGTGTGGATCACATCGATATCTACGCCGACGTCGAGGAGGAGTTCAGCCAGGTATTTTATCGCAATCTACACCCTTTTTGCTTTACCAAGCATTACCTCATGTTTATTTCCCCCCGTCCACTCCGCCTTTCGCGAAGGAGAAATATCTATTACCAAGCATTACCTCATGTTTATTTCCCGTCCACTCCGCCTTTCGCGAAGGAGAAATATCTTGCTGTTTTTTTTTGTTTTTTGTTTTTTTTTTTTTGCTCTGCCATTTTCCTCTCGCGCACAAGGCCGTCATTCGCAGTGGTGTTAACTCCCTCAGTTATCGGTTTCGAGTAGCAATCATTTACATTTATGGAATTCTGCTTCGTGCGAGACTTAACGATCAATGCGCGTTTATTTCGTTCTCCCGGATACGTTTCCAATCAAGCAATCTGTCTCCGTTTTTTCATTGATGTTGTAGTTTTACGGCCCGAGCATGGCCGCCAATGGTAGGCTAACAAAGCCAAACAAAATCGCTTTTATTATCCGCGTAGCTTGATGTTGCTCCACTAAAACAACGACAAAAGGCAACCCAAGTTAGTTTTTTTGCGCATTGTGCGTTGATTACACAACAGTAACTATGTATATGTATTTTACATCAGAAAATGAGTTGTTTTATTTTCAAAAGTCAGGCTTTTGTGTATGCGTGCGTGTGAGTGTTAGAGTTGATGCGGAAATTCTGCGTTAATATTCTTCAAACACGGCTCAAAATACTTTATTAGGATACACATCTCTGTAAGGTGTTTTTAGCGTACAATTTTCAGTCTTGCAGTAATTATTCATATGTGCATGGCATTGTGCATATAAATTCGCAACTCAACTGCCTTTATCGAGCGCTTGAAAACAACCACCGCTGTGTACAAAGCGCTGTACACAGAGCAAAAATAATTAATACAACAATCAAATCATAAGCTAGTCGATAACACAGAAAACAGTAATAGCACCAAGCGCTGCGAATAGAAAATAAAGCCTAAGTAGCACACAATGAATTGCATTTGAATTTGATTTGGTCTGCCATAGGAGAAACTTGTCTTGAAGACAGGCCATCAGTGACCCCCAAAAAATGGCCATCCGTCTATGTTCCATCCCATTTAACCTCAGCAAGGCCTTTTGTGAAAGGCAGCTCACACACGCAGTCAATCACGGGACATATCGACAACTATTCAGACTCATCAACAGTTTATTTAAAATACACAAGCACTCAATCAAAGAATGTGCAACTTCCGCACTGGGACCGAATCAGAATACTCTACTCTTTCAGGAAGCCGACTACCCCGTTCACGAGCAGATCGACCTGTACGACGATGTGATCTCCCCGTCAGCTAATAATGGCGACGCGCCAGAGGATCGTGACTACTTGGACTCGCTGCCCCCCCAGGGGGGCTCTGACGGAGGCAAGGCCGCTCCGCCCAATGTTGTGTACACCTACTCCGGGAAAAGGATCGCCCTGTACATTGGGAACCTCACATGGGTGAGTGGAATAACATTTATTTTTTTAAGTTTTTGGTTCATCACTTCAAGCCCTAATTTGAATCACGGCTGGGTTTTTTTTTTTTTTTTTACACACAGTGGACAACAGATGAGGACCTGACGGAAGCGATTCGCTCAATAGGCATCACAGATGTGTTGGAAATCAAGTTCTTTGAAAACAGAGCCAACGGGCAATCCAAAGGGTAAGTGTCCCCGGTGTTAATATTGTCACGAGTTACCCTGCGGGTTTAAGATTTATGGCCTCTACCTTTTTATTTGTCCCGCCAGGTTTGCCCTGGTGTGTGTGGGCTCGGAGGGCTCATCTCGGAAGCTGATGGAGCTTTTGTCCAAGAGGGAGTTGCACGGTCAGAATCCCATCGTGGCGCCGTGCAACAAGCAGTCTCTCAGTCAATTTGAGATGCAGTCCCGTAAAAGTAAGCACAGTAAGTCCAATTCATCAGCCATCATACAGAGAAGGGCAATGCAACTTTTTTTTAAAAAAACGACGACGTACTTTTGCCTCACGTAGGTACGCAGTCGGGCCAGATGTCGGGTGAAGGGAAAGCCGGGCCTCCGGGCGGAGGGCGCGCCGGGTTTCCGATGGGCAGCAGAGGAAGTCGAGGCAGGTTTCCTGGACCACCCAGCGGCCCCGGAGGAGACCGCTTCCCGGGTGGTGTTGGGCCCGGCGGGCCGCCGCCTCACTTCCCTGGTCAGTTAGTGAGATGGAGGTGGCTTCTTTTTTTTTTTTATTTTATTGTTTCTTCAACACGAACGAAATTTGTTGCGTCAAGCTTGAGCTTGACCCCCCCAGGTCTGATTATCAAATGAAATCTTTTTTTTCTGTCCGGCGTTATGCTCATACAGCTTAAAGGCTCGTGACTTACTGTGTGTGTTTCTCCTGGGAAATGTTTACAGCTTCCCTCTTCCTGTGCAAAGGCTTCCTCCCCCCCATCTGGTTTGTTTTTGACCTCTTTGCCTCCTGTAAATAAATCATCTTCCGCAGCTGCCATTCTCCCAACTTTTTTTTTTTTTTTTTAACTTCCAATCTTGCCTGGTTGCCTGCATGCTTCCAGTAGGAGGGAACTGATTTCTCGGCCTGCCTCCGAAGTGGCCGGCGCCTCGCGATGCCCGGCTACAAAAAGCGATGAAGGAAAGTGGGGAAAGTTTGCATTGGTTTTGATTTGGTTTGCTTTCTCCTCCCCGTTAGGCTCAGGGATGAGACCTGATCTGATTCGTCACCAAGATGGCCACCTGGATCTGAATTTCAATCCCGGGAGCTGGCGTGACAGAGGTGAAACGCCTCGCTTTCATTTGACTCATTTCCCTCCTTTGACCCGGCTTCAAAGTCGAACCGTGGATCAATGCCTGAATGTGTTTCGAAGCACAGTTTGCAGTCGTGACTGTGGACCGCTTGAACTGCCACCGTGAAGTGTAGACACATTATTTTATTTTTTTAGCTTATTAGCCAGCAGACTTACATGCCTTATGAAAGGCCCCTAACATTTATTTTTGCTCCATATTGTGATTAGGTGGGATCCAGGGACCCCCACGTCCCCCTCCCGGCCCCCCTGGCCCACCAGGACCACCTCCCGGCCAGGGCCTCCCCCTACCCCTCGGTCCTCCCAACCGTGGGGACAGGCCGCCTCCCCCCGTTCTCTTCCCTGGTCAGTTTGGTCAGCCGCCATTAGGACCCCTGCCTCCGGGGCCCCCGCCTCCCGGCTACGGTCCACCTCCCGGACCGCCTCCGCCCCAGCAAGGCCCTCCGCCTCCAGGACCCTTCCCGCCGCGTCCCCCTGGCCCCATCGGGCCCCCCTTGGCTCTGGCTCCGCCTCCTCATTTGGGAGGTCCTCCTCCTGGCGGGCCGCCGCCTGCTCCCCATGTCAATCCCGCCTTCTTCCCCCCGCCGGGTGGCAATAACATGCCCCCCAATGACAGCAGGGGTCCCCCTGGACCAAACGATCCATATGGACGCCCGCCACCATATGAAAGAGGAGACTATGGTCCTGGAGGCCGGTGAGTAAAAAAAAAAAAAAGATGCGCCGGTTTCCGTCGGCAACGCTGACTTGAATATCTTTTTGCGTGCGTGAATTCCCAGTGACATGGAGTCATCCCGGACCCCTCTGAGCGAGACGGAATTCGAGGAGATCATGAACAGAAACCGAGCCATCTCCTCCAGCGCCATTTCCAGAGCCGTGTCCGACGCCAGCGCAGGTAGTGAGCGCGATTGCACGCAAGAAGCGGGGCGTCGCTTTGACGGCAGGCCTAACCCCGCCCCCCTAACCCCACCCCCCTCTCGTCTCCAGCGGACTACGGCAGCGCCATCGAGACGTTGGTCACCGCCATCAGTCTGATTAAGCAGTCCAAAGTATCGGCGGATGACCGCTGCAAGGTCCTCATAAGCTCGCTTCAGGACTGCCTCCACGGAATCGAGTCCAAAAGTTACGGCTCCACCAGGTCCAGATCTCGTTTTTTTCATGAGCTTGAATTCGAATGCGACTTCTCCCCCGCCGCGTCTCATTTCGCGCTTGATCTTTTCGTCGCTCCCCCCCAACGCAGGCGAGAGCGTTCCAGAGAGCGCGACCACAGCCGCTCGAGGGAAAAGAGCAGACGGCACAAGTCTCGCAGTCGCGAGCGGCATGAGGACTACTACCGCGAACGCAGTCGCGAGCGGGACCGCCACCGCGAGAGGGACCGCGACCGAGACCGCGAGAGGGAGCGGGAGAGGGAGTATCGACACCGCTAATGGACAAATGAGGTGGGTGTAACAATAGCTGTCTGGAAAAAAAAAATAATAATATCCTTTGTAAAAATGGAATTACTTTATTGATAACCCTGATTGGTCAACGAAGAAGGACGTTTTGACTTTAGCGGGTAAGTGCAAGGTAAGTTTTCAAGTGGATCCATTTTTGCTTGCCAGTTGTCACGCGGGTGTCATGATGTGTCGAAGCGCCAATATGACGATTGTCAGAATTTAAAAAAAATGTGCTTTTGCTTTAAAAAAAGGAAATATCTTGCATCTATGCAATTGTTTTTTTTTTTGGAGGCTTATTTTTTTGGTCTACGGGCATATCAGGCTGCTTATTCAATACATGCAAATTCTAATGAGTGGCTAAAATGATCGATTGGAGCAGCCGATCATACCAGTTGACCAAATAGTTTCTCCAGGAGTCAAATGTGGTTGTGTTGTGGAACGAAGCGACATGCGACATTTTTTTTTTAATTCATATGTGACGATATACAGTTGTTTGCTCTTTTGAGTTGTCCTCATTTGCATATGTGTTTTTTTAATGTATTTGATACATATGATACAATCACCGCCTCCCCAGATGTAAGTCAGTGGGCTACGGTTTGTGTTCTGATGACAGCGTTTCATTTTTATTCATTTTTTTAAGTTCCCCTTAGCAAGGCCATTTATATATAAAAAAAAATAGTCACTCATCTGCCAAATGGGAATCAAATTAACATAACTGAATGCTCCTCGTGATGATGCGATTCTTCCATTCCGAGGTGATTACCGTATTTTCACGACCACAAGGCGCCTTTCAAAGTCTTCACTTCACTCCAAAATGGACAGGGGGCGCCGAATAGTCCGGGTCGCCTCGTGTGAAATGCCGCCATCTATCCATCCGGGGTAAAAATGTACCTGTTTGGGCTACGGCAAGCGATGAGGGGCAAATATATTTTGACGTACAACAAAAAGATGGCCGACAAACGCATCCGGGCCCCACCACCTCGCCAACATGGACGAGGTGCCGTTCACGTTCGTCATCAACGATGTCGAGAAGAAGGTGACCCACGCGTTAGCGATACGCACAATGTGGCGCACGAAGTCGGCTTTATTGTTGCGCCTGGTTGCCATGGTAATGGACAGAAACAGCCGCGGTGACGTCAATGGCGAATGCGGCTTTGCTCAGACTGGGAGAGAGTAACGATTGTGGATGCTCAGGCCAGCGTGTCTGCTCGCGCCGTTCACAAAAGCTGCAATCATTTGTGGGGAGCCGCGCACCTCGCAAGGGGAACCTGCCGCGTTTGATTGTGAACTTCCGATACCGAAGATTAGGCCTTTGATGGATTTGAGGTTTGATTTAAAAAAAAAACAATTATAACATGACGACATTGTGAAATACTTCAATAAAGTACCACAGAGCTCAGTTTAGGTCCCGCTGCATTTTTAAAAATATAAGTTAGCATGCGTGTGACCGTATTTTTTAAGCTAGCATACGCCATGTCTGCATCTATTAATACAATGTAACTCACTTTTACTACCGTGTGCCGTGTGGTCGTGAAAATACGGTATCTGCATTGATACTGTCTGATTTACTCTGCGATTGTCATCTAATGTGGTGAACCGTTAAAAAAAAAAAAAGACCCGACAGTACAAAATTGAACATGTCCTGGTTTTTATCATAAATTCCCGTGATTGGCTCACCCTGACCAATTTGTGTCTTGTGAAAGTATTGTCTTGTTCTGTAATGTTGAAATCTATATTTCTTGGTGGGGCGAACAGTATTTGTAAAAACGTTATGTATATTCATTCCCCCGTGTTGGTTCTGGAACTTTTTTTTTTGTTTTATTTAATGCCGAACTGGAGCCAGTTCACTGTCCAAAGAATGTAGTCAGTAAGTTACGCCGCTTTCATGTGCTCTGAACATTCTTGCCCGGCGTGGCGTTAACTTGATTCATTCATCTCGGTTCTGCCAGCTCGCTTTTTCCTGAAAAGTCTGGCTTTGTGTCCACTGAGAACCTCTTGCACAACACAACAACAACAAAAAAATAATTCAGTTCAGAAAGGAGCCGCAAAGTGTCGTCCGTTTGGGTTCTTGACATTCAGTCGGGGGCGTAAGTACTTGGAACTGGCACCATTGATCTGTTGGATGAGAGATTCCCAGTGGACACGAGGTCATGCACATATTTTTAATGGGTTTTTTTTTTTTTAAATGATGTGTGTTGGGTAAATAGTGAATTCATATCGACGTCCCTGCCGCAGTTACAGAGGAAACGCTCCAAAATGGTTCTTGTTTGTTGACCAAATTTAGTGCCGTCTTTGTTCATTCGGGTGTCCACTGTTTCCACGCTGTTCTGCAATGTCCTCCCTGTGACGCAAGCACGGACGCCGTTCGCTTTGACATTGACATGTACAATTGTGGAAAAAAAAATGTTTTTTTTAATCAGCTAAGCAAGGTTCAAAAGCAGTCTGGGCGCTTTTTGTCATCGACAACCATTCATTTTGAGCCAGTTGCATCACAGGGACGGACGGCGCTGACTATTGTCTGGATTCAGCTTTTTGAAACAGTTTTAATAGTGCTGTGAAACAGGATGTGACATGGTTTTGACTGACCTTGTGGGTGACCTCTGTGCGTGTGCGCGCGTGTCCATTTTGAAAGGAATATTTAGAAACCTGACGGGGCGGGGCGCATTGATAATACTGAAGTCAAGGAGTGATGTAGGGCTGAGCAACATGAGACGACAAAAGTCTGTAAAGTCACATTTTTATTTTATTTCTATATATATTTTTGTAAAAAGTTGCTCTGGTTGATTGCACGGTCGTGGGGTGTGTAGTCCAAGCCGCTGGAGTTAACGATAAAGTCTTTTTGGGGGTGCTGTCATTTTTGGATCATGTCAAGCTACGGTCACGATCATCAACGCCGTAACTTTTCATTTTTTCTTTACCTGTAAAAACATTTCAAAATATTTCATTCGGCTTCACGATTGTGTTCCCGCTTGATGTGGATTCTTTCCCCCCAAATTTCCACTTTGATGACCTTGTTTAAACCCTGAAATAGGCTCAAAAAGTTCAAGGGGGCCCAAATATTGTTGTAAGCCACTGGACGGCCATGTCGGGGTTGCGCCCGGCACACTTTTTAATTTATTAACCCTTTCGGGGACAGTGGTTACTACAGTTTATATATTTTTTTATTGCATTTACTCGCTATTCCCGGTCAGTTGGATTTTGTTGGCCTCACGTGTGCATGTCCGCTAAAAAAAAAAAAAAAAAAAATGTTCATCGCAAATATGTGTCGTATTGGAGCTGTATGGTGAAGGGAGAGAGTGTTGACCATTGCGCTGCCTCGAGACCAAACTCCACCCTCCATTTTGACACCTTTCAGCTCACTAACACCAATGGACGGATGGACAAAAGGAGGACGGACTTCAGCCCCTCGCCCCACCACCACCACCACCACCTGCATGAGTGGACACAGCGCCGCCTCTTCGTCGTCGTCCTCCACCGCCATCCTTCCATCTCCTCTGCCCATTCTTCCCTCTTGTCTGTTCATCTAGTGTGCAGACTGGATGGAGGACAACCCCCTTCCGCCGCCACCTCCCCTCCCCTTCCCCTTCTCGTGTGTCAGGCTATCCCAAACGTCAACTCATGGTAATTGGAAAATCTTTCCCACTCAGCTCTTTTTTTTTTTTATGGCGTTTTATTTTTGTGATTGTTTTTCTCTCTGTCTCGTCTCTCTCGACAAACAATGAAATGGTCCACCTTTCCTTTTTAACTTAGCGCTAACATCCTTTGGTTTGTTTTCCCGCGCGCCGTCCTTGCGTGCGCTCGGTTGAGAGAGGAGTTTTTATAATAGGATACATGTCTGCTGTCTTCCCCCACCCCACTTCCTTTTTCCATCGTTCACTCCTTTCCCCCCCCCCCCCCCCCCTCCAGCCGTGCTTAGAATGTTTGTACATGTCTCTGCTTTTGATTAAGACTAGATGGTGTAATAAAACATGTTTACTGAGGTACACACTGTCGGAAGTGGCTCATTTATATTAAATGTACTGAAAAGTGTTTATCATATAAACTCTGTTGTAGCCAGTAGTGAATGGATGATGCCTTTATTGACAAGGTAAGATGGAATGTACTCTTGTTGTAACGGCGACAATGTAAATCCGCGTCGACATCGTCATTTTCAAGCCTGATCCAAACTATGCATCATTTTGTTGTTGTTGGGGTTTTTTTTTATATATATTTGGTGTGTAATTGCACTGAAGAGTCACCACCAGGTTCATTGCAAATCCTCTTTTGATTTATTTTTTGGGGGGATAATTTTCCCTAGAAATAATGCACATGGCCTCAAAGCTGCTCTCAAGTCTGCTCAAGTTTTGATGTGTTGCATATATTACGCCATAGGCGGTGGCTTTTAGCTTTGAAAGCCAAATGTTTGGGTGTCAACGTAATGAGTGTCACACTTTTTCGAAATTGGATTTTGGATTCAACTTTATTGTCAAATGTAACACAAAGCAGTGGGGGAAAAAAAGGGACCACCAGTTAACCCTTCCCCGTTTCTGTTTGTCCACTTGATCTCCCTGTTATTGTTCAACTGTTAGACTCCTTTTGTTGTCGTTTTTTCCATGTGCTTGTTTTGTTGTCCAATTCATTTTTGTTGATTCCAACATGCATGTTTTTATATTCATGTACATGCCCCCTAAAGTCATCCTCGGAGCTTTCCAATTCTTGCACAGAATGTCATCCCAAAACGGTGTAATATGGGGGGGTGGTGGACCACTGCTGACGCTCTTTAAAAAAAAATTGTAACAAAATACTTAAAGTACTGGATACTCTTCGTCTGTATTGTATTGTCCTGGCAGTGTTTCATGTTCACATGCTGATCATGTGTTTTAACTGTAAACACAGTTGCGAAGATTTATCACTTTTGCTTTAAAAAAAAGGGGAGTCCTGTTCCACCCATGCGCATCCTCATTTGTGTTTTCAGAGTTCTGCAGTGTATGTTGATACTGTATAGAGGTGTGTGTGTGTGTATACATGGTCAGATAGCTTGATGTGACCTCTTTACCCCCCCCCCCCCCCCCCCCCCCCCAAACAGTGCACAAGGTAAGTGTTTGCAGGTTTACACAAGATGGAGAAGAGAAGCAGACAGGTGCTATTAGTCTATTTTTGTAATGAATCATACTTGAATCGTGGAGTAGACAGTTGAATGTAATATTTGCAAAGCAATATAGCATAAATGTATTTTTAAACATCGAAAGGAATTACTGTAAAGCAATATATGATCCAATCAAACTCCCATGACACCACTCTGTTTTTAGTAGTTACAGGAGCTATTTTTAACTTCATTCCAATGAATGACCTGTGAGGCTGCTTTTGTGGTAAGATCCAGCAATAAAATTTTAAAATTAATTTGGATTTTGTGCCTTTTTTGTTTTTGTAAAACTACAGGGTTTTTTTTTCAATGATCTAGTTTGGTCTTGTGAAATGTGTAACTGCATTTTTAAAAAACGTTTTCCTCGCGTTATTAGTCTTTCATAGTTTATTTTAATAAGTGGAATACTGATTCCGTGTGTAAACTGAAATTTCAGATTATGGTGCAATATGAAGAATTGTTTTGTTTACATTTTTCCCTCGCAGGCGGCCATTGCATTTCCGTTTCGTCCTGTAGTAAATGGGTACTTAAATAAAATTAAAATCAACTCAGTACTGTATGAGATATATAAGTTAATTATTATTGTTCTATATTATATATATATATATATGTGTGTATATATATTTTTTTGTTTTCGAAATCATTCTCCTTTGTCTTTTTACTGACTACGGCCATATAGAGATTGCACTTCCGGAAATCGAGTGGGTGTATCAGTCATATAAGTATTCTACTGGGGCGGCACGCTGAACAACCGGATAAACGCATTAAAATTGTCAAGCATTGAAATTGAAAATATCTGAATATTATGACTTATTTCTGAACAAATTATATAAATAAAACAAGGTGATGTCGACGACGCTCTCAAAGACGGAACAACTGTCCGCGGGCATCTCGCAGTCACCGGGCATAAAATATGCTTGCACTTCCGGTAGCAACTCACCGGTTTGACAATAACTGAATAAATGACAAGCGTAATCAATGACCGAGTCCTTCGTAGAGCAAAAAAATTTTAAAGTCTTTTCAGGCTGTCTACTTAACGTCCCTTCCTGTGTAATATGTTTAAAAAGATGACCGAATTTGGTCCAGATTCCGGTGGGCGTGTTAAGGTAAACAAGGATCTCGTCGTCCGTTCTCATTCATTTCGCACGGACTTCTGTTTGTGTATTGTGTGTCACTTGTGTGCAGGGAGTTACTATTGTGAAGCCGATCGTGTTTGGGAACGTCGCTCGCTACTTTGGGAAGAAGCGAGAGGAAGATGGGCATACTCATCAGTGGTCCGTCTATGTTAAACCATACAGAAATGAGGCAAGGCGGCATTCTAGTACTCACTGCACGGATATTATTATTATTATTATTATTTGAATAAAGAAGATTTTTGTGCTGCTTTTCAATAGGATATGTCAGCTTATGTGAAGAAGATCCAATTCAAGCTGCACGAGAGCTATGGTAACCCACTTCGAGGTTCGTTGGCGTGTTGAGAATTGTCCTTTGGGTCATTTTTGACTTGATTTGAGACAAGGGACATTTTTTTTTACTGTCATCCTGTCAGTGGTGACCAAGCCCCCCTACGAGATCACAGAGACCGGCTGGGGGGAGTTTGAGATCACCATCAAGATCGTCTTCATTGACCCCAATGAGAGATCTGTGAGGGCCAACAATTCAAAAATATACACAGACATTTTAGAGAAGTGCACTGCAAAGCTTCTAAAATATTTTCTTCTCCAGGTGACTCTTTACCATCTGTTGAAGCTCTTCCAGTCCGACTCCAGCGCCATGCCGAAGAAAACGGTCGTGTCGGAATTCTATGATGAAATGGTGAGTCTCGTAGAATAATCCAAGGAATTTGACGGCCAGCCCCAAAGGTTTGCAATTGCCTCTAGATGCCACAGGAGGCTGGCAAACCACTTTTTGTATTAGACAAGGCTATGGCCGAACTAAATGAAGCCCTTCTCCTCAGATCTTCCAAGATCCGACTGCCATGATGCAGCAGCTCCTGACCACATCGAGGCAACTCACACTGGGCGCTTACAAGCACGAAACAGAGTGTACGTCCATACCAACTTCAAATATTGTGTTAATTATCAAAAATAATAATTTTTATTAATTATATGTGTGTAATCCGGGCACCGCTCAGTCGGTGAGCTGGACCAGAGGACCAAGGAGAAAATGGAGGCGGCCAAGAAGAGAACCAGTCAGGAGATCACCGAGCTGAAAGACAAGTTGAAGGCGAGCAGGGAGAACATAAATTACCTCAAGATGGAGATCAGGAAACTGGAGGAAGACGGAGACCACAAGGAGCACTGATTGATGGCCACACCTGACAAAAACTGTTTTTTTTTCGTGATGAGCCGTTAGCATGCCATCATAATTTCAGGCGGCCTTATGTGGGACCATTTATGAATTAGAAAAAAAAAGTCTTTTTTTTAATAGTTTTTTTTTTTTTAATTTTACTTTTTGCTTGTGCTGCACTTGTGTATGACCGCTCACGTGGGACCAGTCAATATGTAACCAATATGAAAGTGTGTAAAGGTCGGTTATTGATGCCCATACTTGCATTTATGAATTAGAAAAAAAAAGTCTTTTTTTAATAGTTTTTTTTTTAATTTTTACTTTTTGCTTGTGCTGCACTTGTGTATGACCCACCATTGATGGGTCATACACAAGTCCAATCATCTGTCTATTTTGTAGTGCCCGCCCCTTTCTATCCACCATTATCTGATCCGTTTGTGTTCGAGCCTTGTCTCACTCCAGGTTCCTTTTTTCTTCAGTTCAGGGGAACTCAATATATTTTTTTAAATACTTATGCTGTCAATAAAGTTACAAAAATTACGTGTAACGACTTTTTGCTTCAAATATCACGTTGAATTCCGATCAAAATTGTGATGTCTTGAAGTTACAAATTCCTGCAGTCCCTGAATGCGACATCGCAACCGGAAGCTTCCCTCCGGTTTCTACTTTCGATTCACGTAAAATTCCGATCAAAATTGTGATTAGTCTTGAAGTTACGAATTCCTGCAGTCCCTGAATGCGACATAGCAACCGGAAGCTTCCCTCCGGTTTCTACTTTCGATGAACGCACACTGTTGATTCTCCTCACACACCCAATACACTAAACGGGCGAATGACTTGTAAAATTCGTAATTGTTTGAAACAAAAGTGCAGCTAAATGCGCCTCGACCGACGACTTCTGTGACAGGAATGACTCAATGCAGGTGAGTCTCATTGTTTTCCCATCAAATCATCCCACACTTGTTTGCTTATTTGTTCAAATGGTGATTTAATTTTGTGTCAGTTTTATAAATTCATTCCACCTTGTGTATCGAGCGAGTGTACATGAAAAATTATGAGCGTCGAGTAAAAAAAAAAAGGTAAAAGAAAAATATCCAAACATTTGTAATTGAACACACCAGAAAGTTGATTAGACACAACTGCGCTCTCTAACGGACACCGGTGTAACAGCAAGTTGTAAACGTCCCCGCCACAAATCGACAACGCGGACAAAGAAGCTCTTTTCAAAACATTTAATAGACAACTCCAAGATACTCCCGCTGAAACCCAACGTACCCGACAAACCATATGTTAAAAAAAAAAAAAAACTTTCCTGCCAAATGTTACCTGCATTGGCACAACATGTCAACTGCAAAAAGAACATGTTGCGTTCAAATGCCTCCTTTCATTTTAACGTTGCTTGCTGGTTAACTGCAAGTATAAACATTAGTTCCCCCCAGCTATTTTAAATCTTTATTCATTACGAACCAGGTAAATGTGTGCATCTTGCAATGCCATCATGTTATTGCTTATTTCTGTGCCATTGGAACGGTTAAAGTTTGAATTTTGTGTGGTGTAATATTCCATTTGAAATGCAGTTCGTAGAAAACTTTGCTCTCTGCGAGGTAGTGCAGCTTGATTCATGTCCTTTAGAAATGAAATTCACCCAGAAAAAAAATGCTTGGAATGGCATAACACTATGAAACATATGTAGATAAAATATTTCTATAAAGTTAGTTTTTTGGAGTATTTTTTTTGCCATGTGCCAATTGTACAATTTGTCATATCCAAAACAATAAAATGCTACATCAACTTTTAAGCCTCATTCCTTCTTCAGAGATTGTCAACTAGAACTTAGTTTCATATTTCACCCCCATCGTGTATGTGTGCTTTATTCCCAGAAAAGAGAGCCATCCTTGTTCGGATTTGTCGTGACCGCTTTTATGATGCCGGTTTGGGTTTTGGTGCCGCCTCCAGTCCCCAAAAAAGGTCCTTGCCGCTGAGGCGGTTAGCAAAAATTCCCGACGTAAGCCTCGTAGATGGTGTCCAGGAAGGAGCTGTCAGTCTGGAATAGATCAAAATGTCACACAACTGAACAAGTGTGTGTGATTTTTTTTTTTTTTTTTTTTTTTTTTTTTTTTTTTTTTTTTTTTGGGGGGGGGGGGTGTCATACCTGGATCAAGTGCAGTAAGGTTGCCTGGAGCTGGCTTTTAGACAGAACTCCGCTTTTCTTCTGAAGCGTGTAACCAGAGGAGGCAGATGAGTACCGGTTTTGCGCGGCGGCGGCCGGCGATGCGACGTCCGATTTCACCTGAGAGAAGACGCTGGGAGAGAGGAGCAACGTCGGGGCCACAGTGGCGGGGATCCTCTGCGGAGAAGGCGCCTGAACGCAACACGCCAGTATCATCGTGAGTGGTTAGCGTGTCTGCCTCGCAGTTTTGAGATTCAGAGTTTGAATCTGAGGGCGTTGGATCCACCACCAACCTGAAACTGGAGCGCCGCCTTCGGGGCCGGCGCGGCCACACTAGAGGGCACCTGGAAGCGCGGGGCCAGCGCAGGGCCGAGGCGTGGCGCTTCCTGCGGGGCCTGGCTTTGCTCCTGCTGGACCAGCTGCAGCTTGTGGACCAGCTCGTGCGGGGAAAGCGCGCCGGGGATGTGAGGAGGCGCACCTGAGGAGGTCACAACCGTTGCAGCGATTAACCCCAAAAGCCTCGTTGGATTTGATTCTCCTTTTGGTCTTGTTTCCGCAAGTTAAGAAACATCTCAGAAAGGTAAACGCAAAGGCAAGACTGGCCCCACCTGGATGTGGCTGCTTGGAGTGCCCGAAAAACGCTTGCTGGTGCGAACACGGCGCAGCGCAACAAGGAGCAGCGGCGTTTTGGAAGAGCCTCTTGATTGGATCGAGTTGGTGCTGATGGTGCATCTGATGGTGGTACATGCGGTGGTGGTGGTGGTGGGGGTCCAGCGGGACACCGTTGTCGCACAGCCGGTTCTCCGGGGACTCGGACAGCGTCTGAAGGACCCCGCTGGGCGCCCCCCTCTGCCCCTGCATGAGCTTCAGGATGGCCGGGCAGTTCTGATGACGGGACGAAGCGTCTTCCGTCGGGGTGATTGCCTTGGGTGCCGAGGTTTCGTAGGTCAAGGTGCGGGCGACGGGAGGGCGAGAGGCTTTTCTTGCTACGGGCGCGGCGGAAGGAGAGGCGGAATCAACTTTGGGCGAAGGCTGATGCTGAGGGCCAAACAACGTGGCCAGGGAGAGCGGCTTGGACTCGCTCGCGTCGTTGTCCTGAAGACAGGAAAGCAAGAGGATGAATGCAATCAGGGAGGGCGTGCGGATACAAAAGTGATGGCGGTTGGGGGGGCGTACCGGAGTGGTGGGCTTGACGGGGATGGGTTTGATGAGGTTGGGCTTCCCGAAAAGAACGCCGCTGCCGCCTATCTCTTTGGGCTCGCAGGTCGACTTCTCCTGTGGCGCCACGCAAACGTATGATTACGTCCGTGGTGACATTCAGACTCCATTTTGTACCATTGTCAATGAAATTGGTTAACATACAGTCCTCGAGAAATGTTTTTGTCATACACATGAATTAAAAAAAAATACAATTTAATCTAGTGACAGCCCGACTATTGTGAAAGTGGATTTTGAATTGCTCTTTTTGTTTTTTTTTGTCTTGACAATACTACTTGCAATGATGCTCCCAGCCACTAGGGAGCGGTATTTGCCTGCCGCTCTGCGTCTGATCTTGCAGTGACATTCCGGCTTCACTTTTTCTGCAGGGGTTTTACCTTGTCGTACTGGCTGTGAGCTTTGGTCAGCATCTGGATGATGTCCACCGCCTGCCCTTCATCCTGCACGACACCTGCACCTCCACCAGGGGGCAGCCAGCCACCTTGCAAAACCGCCTGCTCCTGCTGGGTCAGACTACACACACCACTTCCAAGGTAAACATACAATGGAATCATCTTCTGTAATTAGGTTACGTTTGAGAGAGACTAGCGAGCGTTTCGATCAGAGCCAAGAATTACGCAAGCGCTTACGTTTTTATCCTCTGGGCTATTCGCCGGCAGTCGGCCTTGTCGTAGAACCAAATGCCGTGGATGACCACTGGGGAGAGGGAGAGGTCCGCTTTTCAATCAAGCGTCATCAACAGCAAACAAAAAGGTCCACAAAAATCAAGTTAGGCTGGCGTAATAACGAAAAGTGGCCGCTTGGATGCCGAGCCGAAGGTCAGCAGACGACAGAATGAGATTGCCGGCGTGCCGCACGGAGATCGCAATACAATGAATGGCGGCACGCGATTCCCGCCGATGTCTCGGGCCATTAAATGAGCATATCATCGTGAGCAACAAAAACATGGTGCACACTAGAGGGTGAACAAGGAAAGATTTTTTCTTTTTTTTTTTTTTATAGTTGACTATAACGTGATGAGTCGACAAGTCGGTTAATCAATGATGTCATTGGGATTTCTTCAGCAAGTCCTTTGCAATATGGACGATTTAAAAGATGAGATACCAAAAAAAAAGGTGATTAGTTCGTTGACTGCTCACTGCCATGTATTAAAGTGAACTAGTCGATTACTTAATTGACTATCAATATTTTCTATCCACTCCCCAGTAAAAAAAAAAAAACATGCTGGAAACCAAAATACCCAAAACGTGATTAGGGATGTGTCGACTTGATTGGAAAAAATCTATGTGGCCTCGTCAACTATTTGATGAGTCGATTAATTAGTTCATCCCCTAGTAGACAACAATAAGAAAACCAGTGAGCTTATTTTTGCTTATGTAAACTTTGGCCATAACGCTGCAGGCCTCCACGCGGCGCTCATGTTTACACACGAGACCGATTTGGCCACCAGAGTGAGGCTGGACGAGCCACTGGGGTCGCCCCAGTTGAGCCTGGGAAAGAGTCAGCCCAGCACCAAATAAGTAACAGCGGTGGGAGACTGCCCGAGTGACGAGCACTTCGCGGGCTGGCTCGGGGGATGAACGGCAGAGAGCTGCAAGCAAGTGAAAGGATGTCGGCGTGACAGAGAGGAGAAAGACGAGGAGAGGGAAAAGAGACGCGACTATCCCGAAGGAATGGCGTTGAGGACCTTGTCAGTACTATAGTGGGAGCAAGTCGCCCCCCCCCCGCCCCCCAAATCCCCCCCTCGTTGCATTTCAAGTTGTAAGAGGCCAGGCCGATTCCGACGAGGACCTGCCGAGAGGCGCTTGGAGCCATGCTGCGTGCATTTTTCACCAGGAAACCCAAACACGAAAGACTGAAGGAGGAGCCCGAGGTTCGATTTAAAGGCCAGTTGGTGTCGGAGACCAACCTGGGGTATGCGTACGTGCGACCCGGAGGTGAGATTTTAAAATCGGCAAAATCTTTCAAATCGAGGGGTGCGCGGATACTCGTCGCAGTGCCAAACTTTAATCTGTATTTGTGCTCGTGAAAATGCTCGCGGACCAAATTATTGTCTTCATTATGTTTGTATTTTTCTTTAATCAGCCGATTAATTCTGCCAAATATTGGCCTATTAAAAAAAAAAGATCCATATGGGCCTAGCCATATTCATGATATAAGTAAATCAAGCTACCAACACACATGTCCACATGCTATAAGCCCAGTAAATCCCAATTATGAAACTCGTACTGCATCTTTAAGGTCCTCGGTGGCCCAACGCAACAGCGGCCCAGAACAGTTGGGCTGCCGTCGATGTCGGACCCTGGGTAGGAAAACATCCAGTTGGACGTTAACGTGTCAATAATGCCAAATTGTTCGCGTAAAACGTGTTCGATTTTTAGACATCTTGAAGATGTGAATCCAGATCGGCCAGTGCGCAAATCAAATGTAAGAAAATGTCGTATCTGCGCAGCCCAAATACAATCAAAACCAGACACGTGACCACAGGGGCACACAAGTCAATATTTAACAAGCTTCCTGTCAAATGGCTGGTTGTCAGGCGGGCTAATGACTAGTTGGATGCGCGCTTCCCATCCACCGGAGTCTGTATCTCTGCCGTCTATTTTTAGCCCAGGCTGCCACTTAGCGCCAACCGCCGTTCCCGGACGTGACGGCATTGCCGAGCGCGACGTGTTTGCTTAATGATAAGATTCCGCGCTGGGGGTCGCGTCGCGCGGCGGCCAGCGTAACTTGGGTCCGAAATCGTCTTAACGTTACATTTGGGCATGTCATCGGCGAGTTACATCGTGGAGAGTCACAATATCGATTTTAATTCGATTCATTGTTCGTCCCGAGTGAGGGATTTTTTTTTTTTTTTGTCTGTCAGTGAGCCTCACTGAGTGAGTGAGACAGGAAGGAAGGGTGCGCAGGTGTTTGCATTATCAGTCGCCCGCTGTGACGCATCTAATCTCCGTCGACCGCCACGGGAGTGCTGACAGGCTCTCTTGTCTCGCCGCCGCGCTCCGTGACGCTGCTCGGCTGATAAAGAGCGACTCCTTAAATGGAGTTTATCCATAGCCGTCTGTTTCGGAATCCATCTCGAGGCGGCATCCCGCAATAGCACCGAGAACGTCGGTCAGGTTGACTTCGCTTTGAGCTTAGTCGGCATTCTAGGAAAACATGCGACGTCACTCTTACGCCGTGCGTTGCGGTAGAGCAAGAAGGGGTCCTGGAGTTGGAAGTCCAGGTCTTTGGTGATGGGCTCGGTCAGGTTCTCCATGCTGAGTCTGTTCATGATGGTGAAGCCGTATGTGGGCGAGGCCAGCCTAAAAAAAAATGTCTGTTGTGTAGCTGACAAAGTAAAGACAGGAAGTTGTATTTGTCGATGCAGCTTGCCTTGTGTAGATGAACAGAGTGCCTTCCACTTCAGTCTTTTCCTGGAAAAACAAACATTAGTTTTTGGGGTTTGTTAGGTTCCAAAATATTATTATTTTTTTTTTTAAATGCAGAAGGTGAACCAACAGCTAGTTTGATATGCACTTGTGCACAATAAACCGTTAATTATGCCACAGTAATGACCGTCAATAATGAGTCAACAAGGTAGGGAAAGAACTAAAATGGCATATGCATCACTTGAAATCAAAACAAACAGGGGCGAGAGAACAATGGGCACAACAACAGCCATACCCACGACAGTAGTAATCGCCTATAAATAATTGTGTCAACAATATAAAAACTTGAAGTGCGGCGAATGCGTGTGCGCGTTCCCAAAGCGCCAGCGTGCTAAGCAGTCGTTAGCATCGTCCGCTGCACTGAGGTTGCAGCTTACCCACTCATTGGCTCGGTTGTTGTACGTGTAAAGGGCCACCTGGCTGGCCACGTCCACGATGTTCTTAATGTACGGATCGTGTCTCTGCAAAGCGGCCAGGCTGATGTCCAGTCCTTTCGAGCTTAAACCTCCGCCGCCGTCGGCGCAAGTCGCAGTCATTGTTCCCTTTCCGGAGACTTTAGCTCGCTAGTTAGCATCGGCGGCTAAAACAGGGGGAAGGGGGCGAAATCAAAGTAGAAACAAAAGACAGGCTGAAGGAGATGCGATGCGAGGAATTATTAAAACGGTTGACCGAACGCTGATTAAAAAAAAAAAAAATCGGGGCGTTTTATAGTTACGATTGCCACGAGCCGCTTTAATGTCAACAGGGAAAAATTGTAAACAAGCAGGCGTTAGTAGTCGACTTGCAGCACTCACGATTTTACAGGTTGAGCAATCGAGCCGGAAAGATCGATTTAAAAGCTCCGAAACAATACAGTCCATCTTAATTATATCGCGCTTTCGAGAACATTTTACAAAAAACAATAATACAACCGAACACGTCACATAAAACATTGACAGTAATGCAATCATGTCAACTATTCCTTTTCAAAATCTGCTGAAACATTTTTAATGCTTCGAGCTGCCCGTAAATTGCTCGTAATAGCCTCTCGGAAAATATCAGCTGAAGTAGGTCTTTACCTATTGCACAAAATGTTATGATTACATTCACGTTCAGTAAGATGATTATTCTTGGTTGTTATGGTGTGATGAATAAATTTACTTCCAGTGTCCAGAAGTAACATTCTCTTAAACAGTAGAAGAGTAGTTACATAAGTGAATACTGGACGTTGTAAAATAAACAAGTGCGTTCTTTCCAAAGCAGAACACAGGACAGTTGGGTCGTCCGTCTCGAAACACGCTTGCATTTCCTTTGAAATCCACAAGAGGGCGGTATGGGACGTATAACGCTTTGCTCTTGTGTTGGGTGGGAAGGAAGAAGTACATGATGGGTGCAGCTGTCTGTCTGATGTTTTTACACTACCTTTGAAAGCTTTATTTTACAATGTTCGATGTGAATGCACCGCTTAACCCTGCGTTAGGTGCTTGAGGAGCCAAGAAGCACCAGCATGTTATGTGGAACTTTTAAAAATTGCAGTCTGACTTGTGCTGCACAATTAGCTTGAAAACAATTGCTGGGCAATGCACCAGAGGCCTGTTTGTCAATCAGGTGTGTCCCTGTGTGTGTGTGTGCGTGTGTTCAAAGTACACCTGTCTATTTGTCAAAGCGTGCATGTTGTCACAATGATGAGTCTAATGAGGCATCCGTCAGCGCGTCAATACTATCAATACACTGTGATAGGCTCCAAGTAATGATGGCAATGGGAGCACAGTGAAATAAGTCACGCTCTGGGGGGCGTGCAATGTGTTCTCTGCAGTAAAAGCCCCTGACATGACACTTTGGACACGGACACACTGTATCACATTAATAGGTGACGTCTCCTGGAAGCGCGTGATTGATGGCGACAATTATGGAATTCATTTATTCTATTTCGAGAGAGGTGAGAGTCAGCGGCAGGACGTGCGTTCAATATAAAGTATGTGCCGACGAGCAGGCGGTTGCAATTTCCAAACGGCATGGCGGCGGTTATGGAGGTAATGACCCGACGTGATTAAAAGACACACGACCTGCCCGGAAAGCTCGCCCGAATGGAGATATTCCTTCGTTTGCTGATGCCTTCACCTTTGACGGAGCAGAATATTGTTGGCTCGCCCCTGCATGGGATTGTGGCATTTCGCTGTTTGTCTGCACTGCTCTTCCCAGAGAGCGGCCCATCTTTACCAAAGGCGGCCCGGGGTGTACAAATATAGAATAGCGATTCCATGTGCAGGCCGGATTCCAGAGGCTGGTTGAGTGTGTGTGTGTGTGTGTGTGTGTGTGTGTGTGTGTGTGTGTGTGTGTGTGTGTGTGTGTGGGTGTGTGTGTGGTGGAGTCCCGCAAAAGCTGGAGTCCCCCGGGTGCGTGTGTCTGTTCCCACGACCTGCCCTCCATCCGCGGTTCCTTCCTCCTTTTGGCCCTCCCGAACATAGAGCGGAGAAAAAGTCTGCACGCCCCTGGTCAGTTGCCAGCCTTTTGGGCAATTAAAAAAAAAAAAAAGGAAAAGATAAATAATTTCAAAAGTGTTTTTTTTTTTCAGCATTAACGTGGCCAATATAATGTGCAACTCAGTTGGATTTGTTTTCGCAAAATCAAACACCTGATGTGATGTGGTTGCAAAAGTGTGCACACCCTTCAACTGTAAATGGGATGTGGCTCGATTATCAGCACACTTGCCACCATTTAAAGTGTCTCCGCTTAACCCTGAATAGAGTTGAGATGTTCTAGTAGGCTAAAAAAATATAAATATAATAAAAGGTATATTTTTGGCTCAAAAGAACACCGGAGCTACGGCGAAATATTTTGCTGGCAGCATCATCCTTTGGGGCTGTTTTCCTTCAGCTCAATTTATGAACAGTTCAAAATAGCAGTCAGTATAAGCCCAAAACTAACATCAGGAAAAGTCTACCGGAACTGAATATTTTAAATTTGAAGGTTAAATCAGAGGCACTTTTAATGATGGCAGCTGTGTTCTGAATTCCGTTTTCCATGACTTTGAATGCGATTGGTTGATTAGGAATGCGGCCCAGTAATGAGGGGCGTGCATACAACCACATAATTTCAGTTGTTTCTCCTTTTTGAAAAAAAAAAAAAATAGGTCACATTAATGTGGGCGGAAAAAAATTGATATGGCTTACCTTGGTCTAATTTCTTTCATGTCAAATCACCCTGAGATTTAAACAGGGGTGTGTAGACTTTTTCTATTGATCGTGGCGACCGCAGCTTGTCGATCTTTTCTGGAAATGACTTTCTTCTAGCGTGCGATTGGCCGACTTGAAGGGCGGTGAACCGTCTGTCTATTTTTTTTTTTTTTTTTTTTTTAATACGCTTATCGATTCGTCGTCGAAACTCACGATCCTATTACAGCACGGTGGGAGCGCATCGCGCACTCTGACCCAGAGCTAAATGAATACATGGCCAGCGTAGCGTTGAGATTCACCCCCGGATCACAGCATCGCCCGCAGTGAGATTGACGCCGCGACGCGTACACGCCGTGAAGTAAAATTCAGTGTCAAAGGCAATAATAATATTATGAGCTGGCCGACACTATAATTACAATTTGAACTTGGCAATGTTGCCCAGAACATCATAACGCACTACACTGAGCTCTCTTGCCTCCCCCTCACAGGTGTTGGAAAGCCTTAGGGGGGGAAAAAAAAAAAAAGAACGCAGATTGGATTTGACACGACCGAGATATTATTCAGTTAAGAGCCGATGACTTCATTTCATTAATATGTACGCTCAAATATGGCGCCGTGTCACTAGAAAATGACTTTTGGGCGCCTTGGGAGGGAGGCAGGACACGTTTGGTGCTGGCCAGTGAGAAAGATGACGGAACGCTGGACGGTCCTGAGGGTAAAAAAAAAAAATAAAATAAAATAATTAACCCTTTCATGGACAGCGGTTACTACAGTGGACATCTTATAATGTTATCAGAATATAGGGTGCATGAAAAGGGTTAAATTGTCAGTGTGACAGGCAGGCGTTGGTCCACTCCGCATTTCGGGGGGGCTTAAAATCGGGATTCACCCTCGTAGTGGGTGAATTGAGCCAAATATCAATAATAGCGATGTTGTTTGTGTTGATGTTGATTGGTATCAGTCTCATGAGGTGGTTACTTCGGTTGATTAAAATGAAAACATTGACTGGTGTTTGAATCTGGCCGGATCAATTGACCAATAATTTCGCCCTCCGCTTGGGAAAAGTGCTTCCTGGTGTTTTTTGGGAGCCGAGTCAAAGCCGAGACGTAAACACGGACACCCTCGAAGGAAAGGCAAAAGGCGCCCATGCACCACATGTGTCCGAACTTGGACTTCTGTTCGTTCCTCTGCTCATTGGGATCAGTGCCCGGCACACACTTTTTTTTTGTTTTTTTAATATGACAAATCCCTGCCACGCATATCCCAAACAATCCCTTTTTGCCTTGTCTTTTTTTTTTTTTTTTTTTGAAACATACACACACACAGACACACACACACACACATCTGGAAGCAGTCAGTGTGTGCAAGCACTAGGAGGAGGAGGAGGGCTCTCTCTCTCTCTCTCTCTCTCTCTCTCTCTCTCTCTCTCTCTCTCTCTCTCTGCGTGCGCCCTCTCTCTCTCTCTCTCTCTCTCTCTCTCTCTCTCTCTCTCTCTCTCTCTCTCTTTCTGCGACTGCAGAGCTGCAGAGGCAGACGAGAGAGCCCAAACTCCGCTTGCGCACACACACACACACAAACACGCACACACACAGAGCGAGCGAGAGAGCGTTAGTGAGGAGACCACCATGGACCGGATCGGGACGCGAGAGGAGCGCGGATGAGGACAGGACAGGACAGGACAGCCTGCTTTGCGCGCGCCTCGTGGATTCCTGGAAGCCTCTCGGCGTGGATTTAACCCATTGGGAGATTTAACCCCGCGATGGAATATTTGCACTCTTGTCATTTTCCAATCTTCCTCCTCCTCCTCCTCTTCCTCCTCCTCCTCCTCCAGCAGCAGCGAGGATGCCAATCAGCGATGCGTCTTTTGCGCACTTCTATTGACAGCGCCCGTGCTTCGCGAGCTCTTATAAAGCCTTGAGGCGGGAGGGGAAAAAAAAAAAAAATCACCCTCTCCCCCCCAAAAAAAAAAAATTAGAGGAAAGAAAAGCAGAGGAGAGGAGCGAGAGGATTGAACGCGGTGCTGCTTTTATGCTTGCCGCCTAAGGCCCGGATGTACCGAGGGATGCACCGGTGCGTTTTGCCGACCGGTTCCGCTGACAGATCCCTCTTTTTTCTCGCCTTCACCTCCATCATGGGGATTAGGTAATATTCACTCCATCCGAAGACACCCCTCCCCCCCTCCTCCAGCGAGCCACGGGAATATCCACAAGCTGTCAGACTCATCACCCTCCCCTCCCTCCCTCCCCACCTTTCTCCCCCCTTTTTTTATTTATTTCATTTTTCATTTTTTTGGAGGGGGGGGCCCCCCCCCCCCCCCCCCCCCCCCCCCCCCCCCCCCCCACCACACACCCACCAGAAGGATGGTGGGGGGGTGGGGGGGTGATGAAAGCTGGAATACCCACCTGGGAACTTCAAGACGAGGCCGTTTGCACGCATGTGGCGACATGGGTGGGCGTGCAGGTCAGTCAACAGGCTGTTGCAGAAGTGTGGGGGGCGGGGGTGGGGTCCACAAGTGCTTCTAGTCAGATGGTGGACATGTCCTGGCGTTTTTGTTTTTTTTTTGTTGTTTTTTTTTGTTTTTTCCTGGCGGCCAGAGAGGCCAGCGTGATGGGTGGCGAGGAAAGGGTCTGTTTGCAT